GGGCAAGTCAATGGTCAAGTGAAAAAGGCAAGACCTCAGAAATTACGATGCGAATTCTTGTTTTTGGATCAATTTAACAAAGATTCCATATGTAATTTTTTGTTTTTTATGTTCTGCTCATGCATTATGTAGAATTTTCTTATGGGTGGGGACAATATTTCTTTAATTTATGTAATGTAGTACGTTATTAACAAAATAATTTCCTTAAATAGGAAAGCTCAGCTTGTTTTTACTGTCTAGCATAAGGCAGTCAGAATCGATGACTATATTAGTCCTCTAGGCTGTTTTGGCTACTTAATGTAAAACGACAGAAATCGGTTCTCTTCATTTTGTCCTGCACGGCCAATTCTCTTCAGTAACCAGTCTGGGGGACCCAAAGCTGGAAAAAATATGTTCTTTGGTAGTCAAGTCAATAACATTGGTACTGAATTGATATGATTAGAGGATTCAATGCAAGTACCTGTGCCTTTTTTTTTTTTTTTTTTTTTTGAGGACAGAGTTTTGCCTCTTGATTGCCCAGGCTGGAGTGCAAAGGCATGATCTCAGCTTCACAGCAACCTCCCACCTCCCAGGTTCCAGGACAGTTCTCCTGCATCAGGCCTCCGGAGTAGCTGGACGATTACAGGCATGGTGCCACATGCGCCAGGCGTATTTTGTATTTTCAGTAGAGATGAAGTTGTCTCGCATGTTGGTCAGGCTGTTCTCAAACTCCCGACTCAGGTGATCGCCCGCTTTGGCCCCCAAAGTGCTGGGGATTACAGGTGTAAGGCACCACGCAGCTGGCCCGGCCAGTACTTGGCTATCGTTGTTCTTTAAAAACGTTGGATAGTAAACTCATACTTTCACATAAATTCTACTTAAATGCTTAAAACTGGAGTGGCCTGGGAAACAGTTCTATTAAATGCTTCAGCTTTAACAGAATTTCAGAAGAATCTATTCGATTTCCTGTTATTAATTGTGTTGGAATAAAAGTTGGTACCTTAAAATTTAATTGAATTATGTCTTGTGATGAGATGAAGGTATGGTGACTATAATGAACATAAAAAAACCAAAGGACGAACAGATTTAAAGGAGAACAGGAAAATAACCTTCCAAAGGACTGATTGCCATATTCATCGAAATCCTTTAATTTTTCAACATGTGTGTTGTGCACATGGTCTAGGAAAAAAAATATAAAAGGTTACCACCAAAAATGTATAACTTGTTTACGCTCTGAATCTGTTTTCTTTTTTCTCAGGTGTGTCGTTCCTAGTTGTTTTTAAAAACTGGAACCGAAACTTTTGCAAATTTTAAAGGCTTTGTATTAAGAAGAGTTGCACTGGCTGGTGTGGGTGGCTCCACGCCTCGTAATCCTAACCACTTTGGAGAGTCCAAGGCGAGGAGGACCTATTGAGCCAGGAGTTTAAGAAATCAGCATAATGGGCAACATAGTGAGATCCCATCTCCATTTTATGTAAATAAAATAAAAATTTTAATTAAAAAAAAGAGTTCATGTTTAGAAACATAATTACATTTGGCGGCTGGACATGCTCCCCTCTCACTTCTACTTTTCTCTTTTAAATTCTGAACTGAAAGAAGTTTTGGCGAAAAAAGCCTACTGTTTGACAGGAAAAGTTAAAATTATTACACAGCATATGACAGTTTTTCCAAAGTTCAGTCATGCATATTATCTTGTTTAATATTCAAAAAGTTCTTTGGAATTCTTATTACACTCATACTACAGATGGGCAAATAGAAACAGAGAAGAGGAGAAAGGCTTCCTAAGCTATGCGACTAGAAGTCTGCAGAGTTAGGCTCGAGCCCAGAGCCGCTCTCTCCCACAAAGCACAGAATAATTCATTCCATCACTTTGTCTTAGGCATGTAAAGCACCTCTACAGAGAATAGCTTTTCTGACACAAACATGTATAACTGGACAAATAACTATACAATGAAGTAAAAACACAGGGAAATTTATTTCACAAGCATAATTTACACTATTTTGAAATTCTGATTTTTGAGAATGTGTCACCATATAGAGAATTATAATCAGTGTATTTGTCTAAATATGATTTGGTACGAGAATCTTCCCTACATTCTAAGTCTAAAGTGCATTTTCAATGAACGCCATATATACCAGAGCAATCTTTTACCTTAACAGCAGCAATAAGGGAGAATGTTAGCCTGATTATTAAAAAGAAAAAAGAGGACCAGGCGCAGTGGCTCACACCTGTAATCCCAGCACTTTGGGAGGCTGAGGCGGGTGGCTCACAAGGTCAGGAGTTCGAGACCAGGCTGGCCGACATGGTGAAACCCCAACTCTACTAAAAATACAAAAATCAGCTGGGCATGGAGGCACTTGCCTGTAATCCCAGCTACTCAGGAGACTGAGGCAGGAGAATCGCTTGAACCCAGGAGACAGAGGTTGCAGTGAGCCGAGATTGTGCCATTGCACTCCAGCCTAGGTGACATGGCAAGACTCCGTCTCAAAAAAAAAGGAGGAAAAAAGAAAACAGTAAGTTGAAATTATCAAGAACTGCTACTTGACAACATTTCCATTTCACAGGATTTTAAAAAGCACACAAGATGCACAGTAATAAAACTATCACTTCTGTGCTTCAGACACTGTTGTCATAGGAATCATTCCTCAGCTTTGCTGACTTGTGTCTAAATTTTTACCTATAACACTGTACTTCCATGGTGATGTTACAGAAATACACTTCACTTTGACAAAGAGACAATGTGTGAGAAAAGTCTCCAGTGTATTGATGAAACAAAAATGTCCTCAAGCAAAAAATGAGGACTTAAAAAATGGAGATTAATTAAAAGATTACCCATAGGCTTGAAAGTCAAAGAGAGATAAAAATCAGCCAGACGTGGTGGGTGGTGGTATGTGCCTGTAGTCCCAGCAACTCGGGAGGCTGAGGTGGGAGGATGACTTGAGCCTGGGAGGTAGGTTACAGTGGGCCAAGACTGCGCCACTGCAATCCAGCCTGGGTAACGGAGCCAGACCCTGTCTCTAAATAAATTAATTAATTAAATTAAATACAAATAAAAAAAGTCAAAGAGAAGTATGAGAAACTAAATGAAACCATAAGAGAAGTCATAATTTAAAGTGTTTTTCTAAGGCACTAAATGATGAATGAGAGAGGATTACCATTGTCTTCCAGTAAGCACACTAAGGCATGAGTGTCAAAGTAGAGCCTCCTACTCCCAGAAGAGGTGAAATCTCTCCTGCGCTCCAGCTGCAGGTGTCCAGCAGACAGGCTTAGCTCTAGGGTAGAAAGGACAGTAAGCTCAAAACAGACTTAACGTAAAACAGAAGCAACTCAGCATCCTGAGAAAATAAGGTATACCCCAAAGCCTACCTGGTATTTTATAACAGCTTCACTGAGATATACCATTCACCCAATTTCAAGCATACAATTCAATAGGTTTTGGCACAGAGTTGTGCAAGCATCCCACAATCAAATTTAGAATATTTTTTTACTCTCAAGACAAACTGTACCCCTTAGCTGTCACCTTCCAATTCCCCCAGCCCTTCTCCACTGCCCCCAACCATACCCAGGACAAGCACTGGTCTATTTGCTGTCTCTTCTGTTTATCTATTCTGGAGATGTCACAGAAACTGAATCATATAATATATATAGTCTTTTGTGACTGGCTTCTTAGCATGTTTTCAAGGGTCATCCATGTTGTAGCACGTCAGTACTTTCATTTCTTTGTATAGTTGAATACTCCTCCACTGTATAGCTATATTAAATTTTGTTTATCCATTTATCAGTTGAAGGATGCTTGGGTTGTTTCTACTTCTTAGTTATTATGAATTACATGGACGTTATGTATTCAATGATCTTGAATGTATACTTAGGAGTAGAATTGCTGGATCATATGATAACTCTATGTTTGTTTCAGCAGCCGCCAGACTGTTTTCCAAAGCAGCTGTACCATTTTACACCCCCTCTAGCAGCACACATGGGTCCCAACCTCCCCATCCTCACTAATCCTTGCTATTATCTGGGTTTTTAAAAAATTATAGTTATCCTATTGGGCGTCAAGTGGTATCTCACTGTGGTTTTAATTAGCATTTCCCTGATGACTAATGATGTTGAGCATCTTTTTATGGGCTTGCTGGCCATTTGGATATCTTCTTTGGAGAAATGTGTATTCAAGTCAGCTATGGTTTGAACGTGTTCCCCAGTTTATGTGTTGAAAACTTAATCCCCAACACACCAGTGTTGAGAGGTGGGTCCTTTAAGAGGTGATTAGGCTATCGGGAGGGCTCTGTTCATGAATGGATTAATGCTGCTATCTCAGGGGTAGGTTTCTGATAAAAGAATGAGTTTCCCACCCTTCCCTGATACGTGTGCTGTTCTGCCTTCCGCCACGTTATGAAGCAGCAAGAAGGGCCTGGCCAGATGTGGGCCCCTCAATCTTCAACTTCCTAGCCTCCAGAACTGCAAGAAATGTATCTGTTTGTTTGTTTTTTTTTTTATAAATTACCAGTCTGTGTTATTCCCTTACAGCAGCACAGAACAGACTAAGGCAAAGTCCTTTGCCCATTTTTAATAGGGTTGTCTTCATATTACTGAGCTGTAAAAGTTCTTTATATATTCTAGATACAAGCTCCTTATCTGATTATGATTTGAAAACATTTTCTCCCATTCTGTGGGTTGTCTTTTCACTTTCTGATACTGTCTTTTGAAGCACAGAAGTTTACTTTTGATGAAGTCCAACCCATCTGTTTTTCCTTTTGTTGCTTGTGCTTTTGATAACATATGTACGAAACCACTAAGAAATCCAAGTACATGAAGATTTACACCCATGTCTTCTAAGAGTTTTACAGTTTTAGCTCTTACATTCAGGTCTTTTACTCATTTTGGATTAGCATTTTAAATGGTGTGTGGTAGTGGGTTCAGCTTCATTCTTCTCCATGTGGGTATCTAGTTGTCCCAGCACCGTTCCCTCCGCTGAAACGCCTTGTCACTCTTGTTGAAAATCAGTGAGCTGTAAGCATGAGGCCTTCCTTGTGTCTGGGCTCCCCACTCTAATGCATTGATCTATACGTTTGTCCTTATGCCAGTGCCACAGTTTCTTGATTACTTGTAAGTCTGTTTTAACTTTGACATCAGAAAGTGTTTGCTGTTGTTGTTGCTCTTGATTTTTTTTTTTAAGGCAGGGTCTCGTTCCATTGCCCAGGCTGGAGTGCAGTGGTGCAATCATAGCTCACTAGAGACTTGACCTCAGCCTCCCAAGGTGTGGGTTTTAAACTTTGTTGTTTGTCAAGGTTGTTTGGTTATTCTTGTTTTCTTGTATTTCCGTATGAATTTTAGGATCTGTGTGTCAATTTCTATAAGAAAACCACTTGGGATTTTGATAGGGATGTGTTAAATTTGTAGATCAGTTTGAAAAGTACTGCCACCTTAATCTTAAGTATTCAGATCAATGAAAATGGATGTCTTTCCATTTATTTAGGAAAATTATACTTTAATGTACATTAGACTTTAAGTACATTGCACTTTTTATATGTTGCTGGATTTGGATTGCTAGTATTTTGTTAAGGATTTTCTCATTTTTAATCATAAGAGATATCAGTCAATAGCATTCTTTTCTTGTAATGTCTTTGCAAAAGCCTATCTTTAGAGAGCTATTTTCCAACAATTTTTACATGACCTTTTCTATAAATTTTTGTGCATTTAGCCTAGATCCAATCCATTTTTGTAAACTTCTTGTTTGAAGGTACTCATCTGAGGGAGGTGGTATAGTATATGGTTTAGTTTCTTGGCTTTTAGATTTTATGAATTGCTAAAATCAATTTTTTTTTTAATTGGGCCAAGTGAACTAGTTTATGGTTGTAAATCTAATACTTTGAGAGGCCAAGGTCGGAAGATCACTTGAGGCCAGGTATTCGAGACCAACCTGGGCAACATTGCAAGACCTCGTCTCCAGAAAAATAAATAAATAAATAAATTAGCAGAGTGTGGTGGTGTGTGCCTGTAGTCTCAGCTACTCCTAGCTACTTGGGAGGCTGAGGCAGGAGGATGGCTTGAGCTCAGGAGTTTGAGGCTGCAGTGAGCTATGATCGCACCACTGTACTGCGGCCTGGGTGACAAACGAAGATCCTGTATCTAAAACAAAAATATTAAAAGGTCGGGCACGGTGGCTCTCGCCTGTAATCCCAGCACTTTGGGAGGCTGAGGCAGGTGGATCATGAGGTCAGGAGTTCAAGATCAGCCTGGCCAAGATGGTGAAACCCCATCTCTACTAAAAATACAAAAATTAGCCATGTGTGGTGGCGGGCACCTGTAATCCCAGCTACTCGGGAGGCTGAGGCAAGAGAATTGCTTGAACCTGAAAGGCGGAGGTTGCAGTGAGCCGAGATTGCACCACTGCACTCCAGTCTGGGTGACAGAGCAAAACTCCATCTCAAAAAAAAATAAAAAATCAAAATCAAAATAAAACAATATTTGAGTTGCCAATTTTTAATTGTCATGAAAGAACATTTAAATATAGCTGCTTACTACTACTATTAAATATTATACTAAAAATGAAATTATGACACCAAAAGAAAAAAAAAAGATGAACAATCTATAGAACTTCCATTTAATCAACTTAGTATAAGAAAATCTTGCTACATATTTGTCACTACTTTTCAAATTTTGCCATTAACTGGCACCAGTCTGAGGTCTGGTGTTGTAGAAGGCTGGTAGGAGCAAGAAGGGTCACCTGCCAACTCAAAGGTCAAAGGTTTCCCCAGCAGGCCTCTGAATGACCAGAAAGATGCTGCAGCTGATCAGCTTCCACTGTCAGTCCTTCGCCCCTGATTACCCTACAATAAAATCGAGAGTAAACAAAAATGTGATGTGAACTGAACCCTACAGATCTGACACTTCGCTGCAGCCTATGGGAGTCGTTCCCAGCCTACTTACAACTTGGGAAGAGGAGAGTAACTGTGGTCATTGTAAGCATCAAGATGAGAGCAAGAGATGCAATAATCCATATCTGTATCAAGAACCATTTGCAGACTGACAAAATATAAAGTGCAATGACTTATGTGTGTGTGTATGTGTTTGTTGGTAAAACTGGGCCCTTAGATTCGAAGAACCACTGTGCTATGACACGAGGTCCTTGACCTGGCATACAAAGCCCTTGCTATTTATGACCACACTTATCCTTTCAGCTTTCTTTCTAGCAACCTAAGCTATTCTATTTCCTGCAATTCCATGCTTAAGCACGGCTTGCTCCCCTTTCCCAACTGTTAAACTTTAAGCATTCTTTTTACTTTTCTTCATTAAATTGCCAATTTACTGAGTATACATTATGTTTCAGATGTGGCATTTTCTTTTTTACATTTTATGGTTCTCTCTGCTTCCTCCACCCAGCTAAGGGAGCAACCTTTATTGCTCCCATACCTGTGTTCTCAGTTCAGTACAGATAGCTCATCATAGCACTTAATACCTTATTTCCTCACCTGTATTATCTATTTGCCCAAGCTGCCCAGGAGCAGCCAGTCTTGCTCATTTTTTATCTTTAGCATCTGGCAAAGGGTCTAGCACACAGCAGGCTAGGAATATATATATATGTGTGTGTGTGTGTATATATATATAGTAATTGAACTGTAATGACTTCTACAATCTGGATTATGAAACTGTCTAGAGGGAAAATTTGAAATGAATTCCTTTCTCCTCAGTTCTTCCCTTTTCACACAAATGAGTTCACTTAAATCTGGTATCTCTTTTTTAGTTTATTTCCAGTCCTGAGACAGAAACTGGCCTCCATGAGAAGAGACCCAGGATGTCTGCTCAACACAGATGAGACCTAGCTTGAGAAAGTGGGAGTGAATGAATGAAAGCACTTATCTAGGGGACCTCTTAAGGACCACCTCACCTGCCCTAGAACTCTATTGGACTGTCCCATGTGTCAGGGAGCTTGAAAACACCTGAGTCTGGAATGGCTTGTGAAGAGTGACAGGGTTACTCTAGACCCAAATTCCTTGTTTCTAGTAAGAAAATAACCATTCATGTATTTAGAACATAACCTCTTCATCCCCACTCCCACATAAACAAAACAATCACATGACTACTTTGTAACGCCAATTTAGATACTATAGTTTTTTGTTGTTGTTCTTTTTCAGAAAGATTGGAACCAGAAACAGCAAGCTTATTTCCAAGAAATCCTGCCTCTGAAAAGTCGACAGAAGGGCTGGCCACTTGCCAGTGGGCACTCCAACCCCTGCTGAGGGAAGGATATGCCCTCTTGCCTTCTGTCAAAGGGCAGTACCTGAGGGCGCCGCCTACTCCTAGAGTCCTCACTGATCATAAGGAAGTGAGTCAACTGAGCTGTGTTAACGAGTAACATGCAATTCCCCTTTCTAGGGACTTTCAGCATATCAAGAGGATATTAAAAACCCACAATTACAATAGAGGCCCAAAGTTAGCCTTGGACAGGATGTGGAAACCAAATACAAACTTCCTACTCATGATATCCTTAAGTAGCCCAATTGAGAACCTCAGGTACCAAGCAAACAAGTGGTTGGGAAACGCTCATTAGCTGGTTAATGAGCATACACCCCTCCTTAGCTGTGTCCCTGCTCTGCTTCTGTTTTTATGCGTCCATACTTATTTTTTATGATGACTGAAGAATGAGATCGCTGACACTAAAACAACAGTACCACCTTACGGATTGGTCAGCAAATCCATGAGAAAGAACACTCTCTTTTTGCCCCATACTCTTGTATTGAGAGAAAAACAAATTGGAAATTACTAGCTTGTCAGAAAAAGCACAACAAAGGGCACAATACAGAAATAAAGACCAAACTCATCTCCGACTCCTAATTTCTGAAGGACAGTGGCACCGAGTTCACTACTCATTCCCCACTCTGTATATACAGTTTCCTTCACTTTATTGCTCTACTAATCAGTTTTTACCCCAGCCAATGGTATTCTTAAATTTTAGATATAGTCAACATTTGCTGGGCCTATCTGTTGAATAGGAAAAATGTGTGGTTAGTGATGGCTACTAATGAACATGTATAGACTGCCCAAAGTGATAATTTTGCCAAGTCTGTTGATTATTCGAAATGATTTTTTTCTTTATTCAACAATATGCTATCTAATAAGTTGATCTTGTTTACTTCCCTCATCTCCAGGGCAGTGATCTCTCTCATCTCCTTTTTAAATAGTCATGCGCCCCACAACTACCTTTCAGCCCAGGACAGAGGGGCACACACGACAGTGGTCTATGAGACTATAATACATATTTTTACTGTACCTTTTCTATATTTAGATGCGCAAATACGATTGTGTTCAGACTGCCTCTAGTATTCAGTACAGTAACATGCTGTTCAGGTTTATAGCCTAGGAGCACTAGGCTCTACCTGCTAGTCTAGCTGTGTAGTAGGCTGTAGCATCCAGGTTTGTGTAAGCACACCCTACAATATTCACACAAGGAAGAAGTCGCCTAATGACTCATTTCTCAGTAGGCGACTGTCCTGAAGGGATACACGACTCTATTTAATTAAATGCTACCTTCTCAATGAAATCGATTCTGATCACCCTGTTTAAATTCACGACTGGAGACCCATTCCACTTCCCAAGCCTTATCCTATAATTTTCCTGTACCATTTATCAAATTATGAATATATAAAATTATGTATAAATTATATATACATTAATTATGCATACGTATATCCATACACATTTACTGCGTCTCCTCCGCCAGAATTAAGCTCCACAGGGAAAACATTTTGTGGACTGACATATCCCACACATCTGGAAAAGCGCCAGGGACAGGGTAGACGCTAGGACTCCACGAATTAATGATTCCATCAGAATTTGAAATCAAACTGTAAAGCCATCCCTTCATTTCTCAGAGCTTTGCTCCCCAAACATACCCACCCCTTCCCCTTGAGCGGCCAACAGGCTGCGCGCTGCCAAACAGAACGCCTGGAAGGCGGTGCCCAGAAGCAGACCCTAGGAGTGGGCGGGCACCACCTCCCCGCCCCAGCACGCACCTCCCTCCAACTTTAGCGCCCGGGATTCCCAGGAATTCGTCTCTTCTGGGCTAAGCCCCGCCACCGCGGCCGAGCAAGGCGGGCGCGGACCTTCGCCCCACGGTCCGGGCAGATGCCGGTGCCCTTGGCTGACCCGCCTCCGGCCTGCCCGGCCTTTCCTCGGGAAGGCTGTAGCTGAGGTCCCCGCCCCACCCAGCCCCGCGAGACTAGCCCCCTCTCCTTTCCCACCTGGGCCTCACCTCTCCTGCAGGAAACAAGTGCAGGCGCCGGGCCTTTGCACTGGGGAAGGGCGCCGGCGGCAGCGGCGACGCCCGGACCGAGGCCCGGTGGGCACCTCCATGCGCCGCTGCGGCCGGCCGGGGGTGCGGCATACCCGAGGCGCGAGCGCTCCCAGTCCCCGAGCTGCCGGCGCGGGGCTGCGGCGGCCAAGCGCGGGGAGGGCACTAGCAGGAGAAGGAGTAGCGGCGAGGCACGTGACACGCAACCGCGGGTCGCCGGGGCGCGAGGGCGCAGCGCCCCCAGACCGTCGCAGAGCGCAGAGAGGCAGCGGCGTGCTGAGGTTTCGCAGCCTCCCGGTCTTCCGCTGAGGCCCGCGGGCAAGAACAGAAGCCGCCGATGGCCGGGCAGGCGCTGGGTCCTCTGGCCGCCGACCGAGCCGCAGTCCATCCCCGAGCCCTTCACTGGCCCGGGCGCGCGCTCCTGCCTCTCGCTCGCGGCGCCGGTCACGCGCGGTCCCAGCCCAGAGTCGGACGGCTGGAGCGAGCTTGGGCGGCAGCGCAGGCCCGCCCTTTCCTGCCGGGCGCGCGGGTGGGGCTCGGGACGCGCGCCCGGGGCGGGGCGGCGGGAGCTTGCGGTGGCTCTCTGGGACGCGGGGCCGAGCCGGTGTGGCTAGTCTCGGGGCGCTGCAGGGACCGTGCGAGCCCCGCCCCATTCGCTAGGCGACGGCAGCGACCGGGAGGAGCCTGCGGGCACTCCGGAACTGGAAGGAGCTTGTTGCTGCGACGATTTGCATATTCACTACACTGCTGTCCTTATAAAGGAATTAATTACTCCGGCGCCCTTCAGAGTCCTGTGAAAAGTCCCAGACCAACAGGCTGCCCTACATTTCACTGATTATCCTAAGTTCCCCAACATGTGGTTCTGGGGAACATTTTAAGGAATTATTAGCAGGGCCCAGGGAAAGGCCCTCACATAATACATTCAAAACTAAATTTTCAGAGTTTTTGTTTCCGGATTAGAGCACCAAAAACATGGGAAGGTCGCAGTCTGGGAACTTAAAACATGGGGCATGATTGTTAAAATGAGACCTGTCAGGTATATTTGAAACTGATAATGTTTAGTTTCGTGGACTTTTTGAAGGCCTGTTACACCATTCAGAGATAACTGGTCCCTTACGTGAACTTGGAAGATGTTAGTTGAATGAATAAATGAAATGCATAAGGCATCAAGCTAGGAGATTTTATTAAAAATAAAAAAAAAAACAAAACAAATTGTTCTTATCCTCCAGAAGCTGTTTTCCTATACAGCCATATGTATACACATACGTGATGGAAGAAGAATGTGTTATGAGCCATGAGAGATGTATAAAGTGCTGGGCAGAGAGGAATGTGCATGTGGATGTGAAAGATAAATGTCTATCAAAATTTGAAGAACTAAAAAACAGGATTCAAGTCATAGGTTGGTGCAAAAGTAGTTGCCGCTTTTGCCATTGCAAGTATACTTGCAACTACTTTTGCACCAACCTGAGAGACACTTTTGTAAAAGGAGTATACATTTATAAAACGGGTAGAAAAAGCAGTTTAGCAATGGGTATCAACAAAATTTGTAAACTTTTCTCAAGTCACCTAACTAAAAATGGGGATAATGGGAATAATCCAAAATATTAAAAATCTACTAGGTTTGACCATACAAACTTATCATTTTTAAGGGTCAAAATGTTTAATATTGGTAATTTCACATATGCACAAAAGATAGTCATTGTATCATAATTTGTGATTGGGAAAAAATGGGAAAAACTAGTGCACAACATTAGAGGAACAATTAAACTGTGGCCCAAACTTCAATGTTAGTCCTTTGTAATTTTTAAAAATTGAGGTATAATTTGCATACAATAAATTCCACAGACCTATATGTTGAACGTGATGACATTTAGCAGTTGTATACACCACCCAGTCAAGATCTAGAACATTTTCATTGCTCCAGAAAGTTATTTTGTGCCAGTTTTCCAGACAATCCACCACCACCCCATGGCAACTATTTTCCTTTTTTTTTTTTTTTGAGATGGAGTCTTGCTCTGTCGCCCAGGCTGGAGTGCAGTGGCGCAATCTCAGCTCACTGCACCCTCTGCCTCCCGGGTTCAAGCAATTCTCTTGCCTCAGCCTCCCGAGTAGCTGGGATTACAGGTGCCTGCCACCACGCCTGGCTAATTTTTGTATTTTCAGTAGAGATGGGGTTTCACCATATTGGCCAGGCTGGTCTCAAACTCCTGACCTTGTAATCTGCCCGCCTCGGCCTCCCAAAGTGCTAGGATTACAGGCGTGAGCCACCGCGCCCAGTCAACTATTTTCAAATTTCAATGACCATAGATTAATTTTATCTTTTCTTGAATTTCATATAAATGGAGACCTACAATACACACTGCGAAGTATCTTTCTTCTGCTTTGCGTCTGACTTCAATATCAATGAGATTCATCCATGCTGTTGTATCAGTAATTAGTTGCTTTTAATTGTTGAACAGTATTCCATTGTATGACCATACCGCAAGTGGTCATCCATTCTCCTATTAATGGCCATTTGCTTTGTTTATAGTTTTTGGCTATTATGTATAGGGCGTTATGAACATTCTTGTCTAAGACCTTGTGTATACATACATTTTTATCCCTCTTAGGGAAAGTATCTGGGTCAAATTGCTGAATCATATGGTAGCTTAACTTTAGACACTGCTGAATTGTTTTTCCAAAGCGACTGCACTCTTTTACACTCTTAGCAATAGATGAGAGTTTCGGTTGTTCCACATTCTTGCCAAATTTTGGTATTTTCAGTCCTCATAGAATGGTGCTTTATTGTGATTTTAACATACATTTCCCTGATGCCTAATGATGTTGACTAACTTTTCGTGTATTATTATTACCGGCCATATCGAATACAATAACATATGTAAAGCACTTAGCACAGTGCCTGGCCTATGATAGGAGTATAATGAATGTCAGTTCTAACTACAGGTTGGATAGCATCCACTTTTCCTTGGATGTGACACCTGTTGTTTTGTTTTCCAAAGCATTCCCTTTCTTTTGGTCTCAGCACCCTAGTTTTCCATGGACAGTCGCTCTTCTTCACTCTCAGTCCATGCAGTTTGGAGGGACTGATTGCTCTGCAGATGACAGGCATGGGCATGTCACCCAATCAAAGTTAATGAGCAGCTGGGCGTGGTGGCTCACGCCTGTAATCCCAGCACTTTGGGAGACCAAGGCGGGCGGAACACTTGAGGTCAGGAGTTCGAGACCAGTCTAGAGAAACCCCGTCTCTACTAACAATACAAAATTAGCCCGTTGTGGTAACACATGCCTGTCATCCCCGCTACTCGGGAGGCTGAGGCGGGAGGATTGCTTGAACCTGGGAGGCGGAGGTTGTGGTGAGCTGAGATGGCACCATTGCACTCCAGCCTGGGCAACAAGAGCGAAACTCCGTCTAAAAAAAAAAAGCTTCTATTCTAGGATTATTTGTTTGTTTGTTTGTTTGAGATGGAGTCTCACTCTGTTGCCCAGGCTGGAGTGTGGTGGCTCGATTCTGACTCACTGCAACCTCCAACTCCTGGGTTCAAGTGATTCTCCTGTCTCAGCCTCCCACGTAACTGGGATTACAAGCAAGCACTACCATACCCAGCTAATTTTTGTATTTTTGGGAGAGACAGGAGTTTCACCATGTTGGCCAGGCTAGTCTTAAACTCCTGACCTCAAGTGATCTGCCTGCCTCAGCCTCCCAAATTGCTGGGAGTACAGGTGTGAGCCACCAAGCCCAGCCCAATTCTATGGTTCTTAATAGGAACTACTGGGAAGAGGTAGTCTTATTTTATTGTGATGTCTAGGTATAGGATGATTTGAACCATGAGCTCCTGGGGCTACCATGTGGCCTAAGACTAAAGCCATTATGGAGAAAAGAAGGCTGAGAAATGAAGAGACAGGTCCTTTTGAGTGTCTGATTCTAGCTTAGGCTGAAATTGGCATTTTATTTATGTAATCCAATAAGTTGCTTTTGCTTAAACCAGCTGGGACAGGGCTTCTGATTCCTATCCCGGATACATTAGTATACATTAGGATAAACTAGACATATTAGACTTCTGTCTATGTATAGAGAGACTAGATACAGGGGTCTAATGGCCAATGAAGAAGAAGTATCAACTAATTAATGGATCAGGCAGGAGACAGACAACCCCCATGTGAACCATGACAAAGTTGGACTTTATGACAAAGTTGGATCGGTGAAGATACTTGGATCTGGGGCCAAAGTGGGGCCCTCTTACTCTCTCTCCATATCTAAACTTAGGAATCTCCCATGAGTTAAGCTGAATTCACAGAGCAGACTGACTTAGCCACCATCTGTGAGAACTTTAGGTGGCCTTATATATTCTAGGTGTCATCAGGAGAAAAGAGATAGAAGATGACCAGAGCTATCCCTGAAAGATGCCCTGGGCCTGTTTTAGCAGGTAGTAACAGAAAGGTCAAGGGCTCATTGTCTCTGGTGCAAGCAGGTCAAAGAGAGAACAAAGGAGTTGGAACATTCCTGTGACTTTTAGCATACTGATACTCTTACTAGTAAACACTGATAGGGGAATGTCAGCTTCCACTAATCAAATTACTATTCTCCCTAATAAGGATTCTCCTTCTGGGTAAAATGGAATAAGCACAACCCACCCTGTCTTTCCACCTGAATGCAGCCATAAAAGCTGGACAGAATGTACAGAGCAACTGTTTGAGGACTCTGAAAAGTAAATAATAGCAGGTACATCAATGAAGAAGACAAAAATCAAAGTACCACAGAACTGATGTTTAGTTTAGTATTTTTTCCAATGTGTGAGTTCCCCTAGCTTGAACTGTCAACCCAGAGTTCTATTACTAGCAAAAATATCCTTCAGTAATGAAGTGATGAAATAAAGACATCCTCAGATGAAGGAAAACTAAGAGGAGTTGTTTTTAGTAAGCTTGCACTAAAAAAATTGCTGAAGGAAATTCACCATATAGTAGGGAAATGATACCAAGAAGAAACTTGGAGCATTAGGAATGAAGGAAGAACAACAGAAATGGCGAATATCAAGATAAGTATAATATTCTTCTCCTCTTTAGTTCTTTAAAATATGTTAAATGATGGAAAGCAAAAATTCAAACAACGTCTGGCGAAGTTTTTAATGTTTATAGATGTATATAATAACTACAACATAAAGGGGCAAGAATAAAGAGACCTATATGGTAGTGGAGTTTTCATATTGCACTTACAGTGGTAAAATATTGATTCTAAGTAGATTTAGAAAGGTTAAACATGTCTACTGTAATCCCTAGAGCAACCCATAAACATACTATATAAAGAGATACAGGGTGGGCACAGTGGCTCATGCCTGTAATCCCAATACTTTGGGAGGCTGAGGTGGGAGGATAGCTTAAGGTCAGGAATTTAAGACCAGCCTGGGAAATATAGTGAGACCTTGCCTCTACGAAAGAAAAGAAAGAAAAGAAAAGAGGGAAGGATGGAAGGAAGGAAGGAAGGAAGGGAGGGAGGGAGGGAGGGAGAGAGGGAGGGAGGGGAGAAAAAAATTAGCCTGACATGGTGGTGAATGCCTGTAGTCTTAGC